CACACACACACACACACACACACACACACACACACACACACACACACACACACAGGCAAGAGATTGATTGTCACACAAAGCCCACAGGACAACAAGATATCAATATGTTCTGCATATGCATAGCAGTATGCACACACACAGTGTGTGTGTGCGTGTGTGTGTGTGTGTGTAATAAAATCACTTCAAAATAATAACTTTTAGATATCCACTTATGTCTGACTGTGTGACATTGTCAATACCCCTGCCTCCCACCCAAGAAATATATATATATTGGTGTATGCAGGTCTTTTTTTGTTTGTTTGTGTGCTTTGTTGATGGCACGAATGAAAGGCCCCCACCTCCCCACTGAAAGCTGTTGCGCTGCATTCTCCTATTTAAACACATTGTATTGACAGCTTTCCCCTTGTAATTAAAGAGTACTGAAGAGCTGGCCGTCTTCCAAGACAAAGTTCAAAAGATGGGTCATGAGAGGAAGAAGGTGTGTGTGAGCGAGTGTGTGTGTCAGTCAGCTGTCGATGCAGCTGGACACATCAGAGACGGGGCTTTATCGACAGATTTTGGGCTCTAATGATTTCACTTTATTTAACAGGCATCTGAAGAGACAACTATGCTAATTATAAAAGGGATTGCCACTTTGTTTGGGGGGTGGAATTCAGATTGAACATGTCTGTGTGCGTTTGTGCTAAATCTCAGTGCTTGTGTGCATGCATAAAATATGTGGCGACTAGCGGAGTATGACAGGACAAATGTGTGGGTTTGCCAGTGGAAGTGGGACACTCGACAACTCCTTGTTGTTAAAGGAAGAAAAACATCCTTATGTTTAAGTACGCATCATGTTTCACAAAGCTGTCTGCGTGTGTGTTTGTATGCACACTACTGAAATCTGTCCTCTGATGTTTCAGCCTAAATGAGCCCCACGGGACTGAAAATTCCTTGGATTAACTCTCCTCCAACAGTCGAACACTGATGTGCACACAGACAACAACGGCTAGGAGTGAACAGTTTCAAACCTGAGTTAGCCAAAGCGATGGCCTTTAGAGTGACAAATTCCTCCTTCTCCAGCTTCATAGCTTTGTATTTCTTGACCAGCTGAAGGATGGCGTTGTTCAGGTCCAGAAGTCCAGCTAGCTTTGACTGGTCCTCATCCATGATGTAATCTTCAGCATATACCAGCTGAGGAGGAGCACAGAGAGGTTGGAAATTTAAATGCGCTCCTGCATGACTAATGAGAGCGAGGAAGAGAATGGAGTTGAAACACTCACCTTGTCTTCAAAAGACAGGGAGCGGTAAACAACGCGCAGAATTAAAATCTCCATCCATGCACTCTGCAGTAGACTCATCTGGTCTGCCAAAGACAGCGTGGAGAAACCTGGGAATGAGAAAAGGCAAGCAAAAAGCACAGGTCATTATTGTTTTCAGTTTTTGTTCCAACTCACAGCAGAGAGGTTAGAGATCGACGGAGAATTTGTTTAATGAGAATTTTGCATTTTCTGTTTCTGTTGATGCAACTAACTCCAGCTAGCTGTTCCTATAGGTCAGGGGTGGGCAATCCTGGTCCTCGAGGGCTGCAGTCCTACATGTTTTACACTTTTACCTGCTCCAACACATCTGATTCAGTCACTGAACTGCCTCTTCCAAGTTCTGCTGTACGGAGGACCAAAACTGCCATAATTAGAATTAAAAGCAGAAACATATAAATGAACCTTTAAATAAATAAATACGTTTAAAATGCACCAAATAAAAAATAACTTTACCTCAAGTTTTATAATTTAATTGACCTTCATATTTATTTTTCCAGCTTAGTTCCAATAAATTGTATATTTTAACACATAATTTAATTTTTTACAGTTTTTTTAAATAAATATTTTTATATAGTTTTTCCTTTCCTTTTGTACATGCATTTGGTTCTCTTAAATGCTTAAATTTGATTATTTTTATATGATTTTTTTAAAATAAAGGCAGAGGTAATCCTCCTTGCCTTTGTTTTAAACTAAACTTTAAACTTTTAGCTAAATTGAGGGACCATAAGCATGCAACACATAGAAATAAAAAGACTTACTGGAAAAAAATGTAAACACAATTAAGTATAAACATTTAAGAGACACAACAAATGCATGTACAAATGATTTTTTTAAAATAAAGGCAGAGGTAATCCTCCTTGCCTTTGTTTTAAACTAAACTTTAAACTTAATTCAGGCACCACAAGCA